TCAATGAGCTCAGTGTGACTCAGTGTGAAAACAACATATCGAAACGAGTCAAAAACCGAGTTAACGAGTTCTGGTAGATAAAAAAAAGTTCCAAAAAATCCACAAAAAATTTAGAAAAGGACGAAGAGCCAGAAGAACACTTGTTTACAGATCTAAAGCGAAACCGAACGAATCAGTAACAAAAATTGATAAAGTTTTTCTCCTAGGCTCTGATACCACTGTAGGTCCCAAAAGAAACTTAAAACCATCGATTTGCAAACAAGAACAAAAACAACCCAAGAACACAAGGATTTTTGGCCTAAAGGCCCCGAGGTTCGGCGATTGATTTTAACGCCTACTCCCCGTTGAGCATCCGTTAAGGATTAAGCTCAATCCACTAAAACCGCCCAAAAATAGGCAAAAGATTACAAATCCAGAATACACAGTTCGATCGACACAGCTTGCACAAGATCTTCCCACAACCATATGAACCCACACAAATCCTTAACTTTTCTGCTACAAAAAGACCAATCATGATTTATTCCAGGAAGGAAAATTAGTGTGAGAAGTTGACTACTTTGAAAAGGTTGGAGTTGTTATAAATTGTTTATAATTGATCGAATCACTTTCTATCCATGAATTTTGTAACAAACACGAGTACTATTCATTTATTCACAATTCACACACACACACACACACACGTTCCGAACAAATACTTTCTGAACATGTTATAAGTTAAGGTATCCACAATCAACCGAATCTTGCTAAGCCCCCATTTGGCTCGATTATTCCCAATTGAATTATAATTCATTTTTCTCTATTTTCTTATCAACCACATATTTTTTAATAAAATAAAATTACATGTAAGTCCAAATTTTTTTCTTCTTTTTTAACCACACATTATAAATAATGGGGCTAAATGGGCGCTATATAGGGTCCAAGTTTGACAAGAAATAAACATGGCCCTTTACCATAAGTTTATTTCTAACTTTCATCTATTAAAAATTATTCATTGTAAATTTTACTTAGTCACTTTAAAACTTTTAATTTAAGAGCATGTTTGATTCTCATTAATTTCAAAATACATTTCTCTTTCTTCTTTTCAATCACATATTTTTTAATAAAATAATATTACATGTAAATTCAAAAAAATTTCTTATTTTTTAACCACACATTTTTCATCAAATCATTATTTCAAAATGCATTTTGGCAAAAGAATTGTGCTAAAATATGTCCTAAGCTTAACAAAAGTCTGTTCATTGAATAAATTATATATTATTTTAGGATAATTATATTGATGCTACATTTTTTTCACTTATTTTAATTATGATGATGGTCTCCAATCTTTGTTAATGATTATTATATCGGTTTTTTATTAACATTTCAATTAATTAGCAAATATCTTCAGTGGCGACAATTTTTATCCAAATATTCTATTAAAGTGTTTTGAAATGTGGGAAAAATATTTTGTCAAATCTTTTCATTTGTTTTTTTTTCTTAATTAAAAACACAGGAAAAACGAGTCTTTTTATTATCTCTTAACGAATTTTTGGACAAAAATTGTCATCAAAGACAAGATGTATTAATTCACATAAGATCAAAGATAAGAATGTGATGAAAATTTTGTGGATATAAATATAACGTTGAGCAAAGATTATGGACATTTCGTATGTTAACTATGCCCAATTTGGTCCCCATTATCCCAAAAATTTATTATTTTTTTCTCTTACTTTTAACCACACAACTTTTCATAAAATAATATTACACGCATATCTAAAATATTTCCTTATTTTTTAATCACGCATTCTTAAAAAAACTCTATTTCAAAAATTATAATTTCGAACAACGAGAGCCAAACAGTGCTATATCATATTTTAATTGTATTGAATGCCCTCAAAATTTCTCATTTTTGCACTATATTTTCATCAAATTTTTATCTTTAACCTTCAATTCATTAATACGTGTTGCATCATATATCGATTTTTGTCCAAATATCATTTTAATGCGAATTTTTTTTTCTTCGAACTTATACTTTGTTAATTATTTTGCTTATGTTAAAATACGAAAAATAAATAAGCCTTTTTATTCAATTCTAACAAAATTTTAGTCCTCATCGTGAACTATATGTGCTAATTAAATAAGGTTGAGTAAAAACGATTGTGCTATAAATATAGTTAGCTACTTAAAATTGAAATTTGGTACACATATATGTTGTCAATATATTTAGCCTTTACTTTATGGCAAAATATATTAACATCATAGTTTAATAACTAGACTATATTTCAATTGTATGGTAAGTTCATAACCTGTAAACATTATTACATTTAGGATGTGTTTAATTGCAATAATGAAATTCATATGGAAAGTTCATTAAATATATTTGATTTATTTAATTTTCAACCAAGAAAATTGTATATTTGTCCATCTTCTATCGTGGATAGACGAGAGAGAGAGAGAGAGTTGCCTGAAAAATAAAAATCTATTCATTTCTGAAGAGATGTTTTCCTTATTTTTGAGTAAACTATGATCACATGACCAATTTTTTTTTTTAATTAATGAAAAAAAAATGTCAATCAAATATCCCAAAAATACGAATTTGAGTGAAAAAACAAAGTCAATCAAACACATCCTTATATTTCCAATTTTTTCCGTTGCATTCTTATTCACAAATTAAGATAAATTGTTCCTAATTATATTTTCTTTAAGATAGAATAAAAAAGACTCATTTGTCCATCATATTCTTAAATAAACTAAATAAATAATAATGTAAAAATGTTATTAATATTTGACCCTCATATTTTTGGACGATACCCTTCAATAATGACGACGTCTGTCCAAATGTTCTATTAGCTCGCTTTGGAATGTGAAAAAAAAAAGACAATTTGTTGAACCTTTGTATTTATTCTTTTATTAGTTAGATTAGAAACACAACAAATAGCAAGTCTTTTTATTATCTCCAACGAATTTTTGGACAAAAATTGGTTATCAGAGACAAGATGTGCCAAATCACATAAGATCGAAGATAAGAATGTGATAAAAATTCGTAGATATAAATGTAACAATGACTAAAGATCGGACATTTTGTAAAAGGGTAATCATTTTCATACCATAGTTTTTGTTAATTATGTTATATTTTAATTGCAAAGAATGTCCTCAAAATTTCTTATTTTGCACTATAATCTTCAATTTTTTTCGTCACATTTATATATATAGCCTTTAATTTATTAATACGTCTTGTATCATATAACAATTTTTGTCCAAATATCATGTTAATGTGAAAGTTTTTTTTTTGTAGAACTTATACTTTGTTATTTATTTTGCTTATTTTAAATTACGAAGAGCAAATAAGTCTTTTTATCCGATTCTATCAAATTTTGGTCCTCATCGTTAAATATATGTGCTAATTAAATAAGGTTGAAATAAAATACGATTGTACTATAAATGTATTTACCTACGTAAAATTGAATTTTGGTTGTTATTTAGCTTTTACTTTATGGCAAAATATATTAACGTCACAGTTTAATAATTACACTACATTTTAATTGTATGATAAGTTCATAAACTGTATACTTTATCACATGTATATCTCAAACTTTTTTCATCGCATTCTTATTCTCAAATTAACATAAATTGTTACTGATTATAGTTTCTTTCCATAATTTTCTTTAAAATAGAGTAAAAAGACTTACTCATTCATTATATTCTTAAATAAAAAAATAGATGATAATGTAAAAATGTGATTAAATATTTAACTCTTATTTTAAAGTACGTAAATAATATTTTTGAACGAAAATCACGATTAAAGATAAGATTTTTTTATCAATAAAATTTTAAAAATAAGAATGTGGGAAGATAAAAATTAAGAATATAAGTATGATAATAAATAAAGATTAATGACTTTGAATATAAATTGCATTGTATTTTTTTTTTTTTTTAATATTGTATGAATATAATCATCCTTATTTTATTTTCCAGTTTCTTCATTTTCTCCTATAAACCCGATAATGCCCCGGAAACGAACCTAAATGATTCGGGTTCAAAGCACTATTAACCCGATTTCTCTCCCCTTTCGCCTTTCTCCTGTCGCCTCCTTCATCTGGGTATTTCTCCTTCTCCTCCGCCGACACCGTTCACCACCGGAACAGCGCCACAACTTCTAGTGAGACTTCTCTCTCAATAAAAGGTGGAGCATAATTTATGTATTTTTTATATATTCGTTTTCTCTTTTTACTTGAAGTTAAGTGAATTAATGTGAATGAATTGGAAATGGGCATTGCTTTATTTTTTTTTATTTGTTTATCTTTTTGTTGTCATATATTGTCGGTCTCATTTTGCCTTAATGTTTTCACCAACGCCCTATGTTGGCAATGCGAATCTGATATTTCTATGTGAATTTTATTACTTAATTTAAGTTAATTATGGATACGTATTTTGATCGAGCTTTGAATTTTAAAACTGGGTTAGTTATTACTTGCGCTAGGATGAAAAATGGTTTAATTCGGCATTAGATATCTGGTCTGGAGTTCATATAATTTCTTTACTGAGATGTACTTTAAATTGGTTCTTCTCAGGATTGAAAAAATAAAATAAATATCACTTAGAGCTTGTTACCGTGAAATAGAGAAAAGAGGTACAACGTAAAAGATGCTTTGTTCTCCGTAATTGTCTGGTTGTTGGATTACATTTTTTGTTCTCTCTCTGAAATTGACTACTTGTGGTCCATAAAAGACGCATATTGAACTCGATTTTCAAACTTTAAATGTGCTTATTTATTTCTAGTATCTGTTAAAAATTATTACGTTGACTGCATTGTTTAAGGCTGCATGTCTCACTTTTTCCCAGATGTCAATTTCTTTAGTTATATGTGCCGTCAATGTGTAAAGTATATTGATTATGATTTCTGATTCTAATTCCTTTTTTATGATTCTTAGGATGCTTCTTGTCTGGTGATTATTTGTGATTAAATCGAACTTTTTGCTTATAAAGCTAAGAGATCGACTTTTTGAGGGTCTTTTTTGGTAATGGGTTCACCTGAACGCACAAGGAGATCTGTGAGACAGGATGTAAATGAGGATGTAGAGGTGAACATTGATAGTGTCAGGGAGGATGATGAGTGGGATGGTGATGATAAGAGAAAACGCCGGTCAAACAAGTCAAGGAAACCTGGAATTGGAGAAGACGCTGATGTTTTGGATGGCAGTGCTAGAAAAAGAAGTGCGGCTGACAGACATGAGAGTCGAAAGAGAGTGGCTGGTTCGAGCAGAGCTGACAGTGATCAGGATGACTATGAAGCTAGAAGGGAGCGCTCTAAGCAGACGAAGAAAAAAATAGAAGTAAATGCCTTGGAAAAAATGAGCAGTTGGTATCAAGATGGAGAAGCAGAGAATAAACATGAGAGTGGGGACAAATCTGGGAGTAGAGGACATAGTAGAGCTGATGAAAGGGACAGAAAGAAACCAAATTCAAAGTACTCAGATCATGATTTTATTGAAAAGGTTCAAGAAAGAGATTCTAGACATTCAGATAGAAGGGATAGTGGCAGAGAAAAGGGACATGAGTCTGCCGAGCATGGAAGAAACTCTCAGAGAAGATGGGATGAGTCCGATGCAGTTTGTAAAGATAAGGAATATTTAGAAAAATCTGACGTAAGAAGTGGGAAGTCTTCTGATCCTAAGCTGGAGAGTGCCAGAGAAAGAAGTGACACCCTGAAAGTTGAGCCAGAAAATAACAAATGCAAGGGTTTTGACCCAATTGATGAAAAAGGTATTAAGGCTCAGGACAGAGAGGAGAGAAGAGCTGACTCAGAAAAGTCTAAGAGGGAAAAGTATGAAGCTTTGGAGGACATTGAGATATGTGCTGCACGTGAAAATATATCAACTAAAGAGAGATTCGAGGAGAATAGACAACCAAGAAACTCAATTAGTCGAGATGTTGACAGCCATGAGAGATCTTTCATTGCAGATGAAGACAGTAGCATGTTGGTGAGAGACAAAAGTAGGAGAGAGGTAGACAGTTCCAATGTGTCCAGGACACCTGAGAGGAGTGGAAGGCGTCATTATGAATCAGACAATTTAGACGTGGATTATGAAAGAAGTGCTAGTTTCAGGAGGAAAGAACAGGGTAAAGATAGCTCGTGGGATGATAGATCAAAAGAAAGAGATGAAAGTTGGGGTGACAAAAGTAGGGATAGGGAAAACATTAAAGATAACTGGAAAAGAAGGCAAGACAAGGATGCAAGAGATGGGGAAGTAGCCTACAGCCAGGGAAGAGATTGGGAATTTTCGAGGCGTGGACGTGAGAGGATTGATGGTGAAAGGCCTCATGGTCGCATTGGTGGTAGAAAAGATGGAAGCAGGACTGAAGCTGTGAAAACCTCATCAAAGTATGGGATATCAAATGATAACTATGATGTGATTGAGATCCAGACCAAGTCGTTTGATTATGGAAGAGAGGAGTCTGGATCAATTTTTGCAAGAAGCAGTGAGGTTGTTCTGCAATCTGACACTAAATTGGCCCCACACGATGAAGAGTTTGGTTATTCAAGATCGGAAAGGTCAAGAAACACACCTGCATCTGGATCCTCTGGTGAAGGCTCAAAAGAAAAATTCATGGATGGTGGCCTTACAATGCCAGATTCATGGAGAGACGACACTGATTATCAGGCAGAAAATTCTAGACTTCAGAGAGGTGTTGGGTTGAATCATGGTGCTGCAGGCCAAAGTTCTAGCAGTGGCTCACAACTCCCACTTGGAAATCCGGAGCCTGGTTCTTTCAGTAGAGGTGCTTTTCAAGGTGTCAGGGGAAGTAGAGTAGGGAGAGGGGGAAGGGGGAGGCCTCCAGGGAGAGACAATCAGCAGGCTGGTATTCCAATACCCTTGATTGGATCACCATTTGGACCACTTGGAATGCCACTTCCCGGACCTATGCAATCTCTAAATCCAAACATGCCCCCTGCTCCAGTTCCTCCAATTTCTCCAGGAGTATTTATTCCACCATTTCAACCTCCTGTTGTTTGGTCTGGTGCTCGAGGTGTTGAGATGAATATGCTTGCAGTTCCACCTGGTCTCCCACCTGTGCCTCCTGGGCCATCGGGACCTAGATTTCCCCCTAATATCGGAAATCTACCAAATCCTGCTTTGTTTTTCAATTCATCAGGACCTGGAAGGGGGTCGATTCCTAACATGTCTGGCCCAAATTTTAATGCTAATGCTCCAGCAGTCCGTGGGCAACCTCAAGACAAAGCCCTTGGGGGCTGGGTTCCTTCTAGATCTAATGGACCTCATGGCAAAGCTCCTTCTAGAGGAGAGCAGAACGATTACTCTCAAAATTTTGTCGACACTGGTATGCGTCCCCAGAATTTTATAAGGGAACTAGAGCTCACTAGTGTCGTGGAGGACTATCCAAAGCTTCGGGAGCTTATACAGAAAAAGGATGAAATTGTTGCAAAATCTTCTTCGCCTCCTATGTATTATAAGTGTGATCTGCGGGATCAGGTGCTTTCTCCAGAAGTCTTTGCGACCAAGTTTGATGTCATACTCATTGACCCACCTTGGGAGGAATATGTTCACCGAGCTCCTGGTGTGACTGATCACATGGAGTACTGGACGTTTGAAGAAATAATGAATCTCAAGATTGAGGTAGGTATTGCATGTGTTTCTGATGCTCCGATGGTTCTTTATTTTTTTTCTCTTTTCATAAAAAATGTTTTGCTTGTTATCCATGTTGCTATTCTTGACATCAATTTAATGTATCACTTGGAATCGTATTCTCTTTCATTATTTCCCTTTTCGGTTAAATTATGCACCCCCACGGCCACATCCTGGTGCATTCACTGGTTACTATGGGTGTGGTTGAGCCGCGTTATTTTGGAATAGTAAATTGATGAGAATGTGTGATTGAAAAAGAAGGAAAAAATATTAATGTGATGGAAAATATTATTTTATTAAAGACTGTGTGGCTGAAAATGAGCAGAAGAATGATAATGAAAATTTTAATGTGTCTCAAACAAGGGCTATAAATTTTTTCCTTTCTTACACTGTATACATTGGATTCATCATTTTTTCTATCTATAGGCAATTGCAGACACTCCATCTTTCATCTTCCTTTGGGTTGGTGATGGTGTTGGGCTAGAGCAAGGCAGACAATGTCTAAAGAAGGTAAAGAATGAGATCTCCAAGAGAACTGGCCACATTTATGTTATTTTCTTTTCGTCGATAATTATTGCCCCTCTTTTTTGTCTCTTTACTTCCCTTTGGTTTCTGTGATTTAAATCTCTGTATTATTTGATTTTTTTTAATTTTTAACCGTCATTACCTGTTTTATCCAGTGGGGATTTCGTAGATGTGAAGATATATGTTGGGTGAAGACAAATAAAACAAATGCAACTCCTGGATTGCGTCACGATTCTCATACTCTATTTCAGCGCTCAAAGGTTACAAATTCTAGTCCACTCTCTCATAATGCTTAAGTATAATAAGTGAAGATACTATTTCTAAAATTCCATATGTTCTTACCAATTTTTTTCTTATATGAGCTGAGAGATTTATGAATCCAAATAAGAATATACAACTTTTGGATGGAAATAGTGTTAATAACATTATGACCAGAAAAATCTAAATTGGACGTCAATTATTACTTAGGTATCTAGTATGAAAGTCCTTATTGATAGAAATCATTAAAATTCATTTAATTCAGTATACAGAAAGGCTGCTTTTAATTTCTTATGACCTATTTTTAATGCCTATGTAGTGATAAAGAGCTTCACATATTATCTAACTATCTTTAAGTTCTTGAGCTAGTAATAAAGATTAACATTTAATTAATCATTAGTTTGTTCTCTATTTCAGAGACATATAAAGTAAATATTATTGTAATCATGTAATTTTATGCGTTGCTTTAACTTAATTTGAATGAAGATCTTAGTATCTGTCAAACTTAAGTAAAGAACAATGAACGCTTTCTCAAAAAACCTACAATGCATCATTGCTTTTGCTTTCAAATCAGTATTTCGGGCAACTTCCAAATCATTACTCAAATTTACTGATTAAAGTAATATAGCTAATATCTTGAAAAAGTAGAGTGTTTGAAATATTAATTCTGAGACGTTTAACTATGTCAGTGTCTAATGGTTTTATCAATTAGTAGAGTTAATCAACTTATGCTGCATCAATTTAACGAGCTTGTAAGAAGTTTTTTCTGCTATAGATCATGCTATTCATTTTAACGTTCAAGCTGCTGTGTTTCTATTTTATTTTTATATTTGGGTGTATGGGAAATGTATCTATGTTGGTATATTCTATGTCCTGATAGCTGCCTTGTCATCATTATGAAGGAACATTGCTTGATGGGAATAAAAGGAACTGTACGTCGCAGTACTGACGGTCACATAATCCATGCCAACATTGACACTGATGTAATAATTGCTGAGGAGCCTCCTTATGGTAAGTATAACCTTGGATTTTTACTGTTGTTAGTAAGTAGTAAGTAGTCCCTCCTTAACTGATGGATTAATTGGTGAGGAGCCTCCTAATGCAAGTGCAACCTTAGATTTTACTCTTGTTAATAAGTACTAGGTTGGTTGTCCCTCCTTACTATGAATTTTTGTCTTTGAACTTGTGTGTAAATTCAAATCTGTTTCAATCATTTATTTTCCAATCTTGAAATACTAAACTGAAATTTTAAATCGCCAAGTATTCCCTACATCACCTGTTTGTCATGTATCTTTGCCTATTCTTGGTTTTCCCTTTTCTAGTTCTTTTCTTCATCTGTAAAATTTACCTTCCTCTGGTCAGCTTTCTTATTATTAGCCAATTAGTAGCTTCATCTGGGAACGTGGTTTGCTCTAAAGTTATTGCAATTGATTTTGGAATGTCATTACTACTCTCCCAAGATTTTTTTTTGGTGTGCTTTTTTCTTTTTATATGACAGAAATGGATAGAACAATGTTTAACATTTTTGTTTTCTTCATATTTGTTTACCATGATAAGACTCGTTGTCTTTATTCCTATCTCTCTTTATGTCCAACATGCAGGCTCTTCTTTGAAAGGAAAAATCTCTCTCTCTCCCCCTCCCAATCTTATTTCTTTGTTAGTATACTATTCTATTCTTCCACTGGAATTTAAATTAAATTTGCCAACAATGAGGATTCATATGCTTATGCTTGAAAATGTTTTATACACACCGCCTTTGTGTTTAATAGATTCAAGCAAGCTTTAAACTAGACCTGCAAAGGTTTGTAGTTTTACCGATTTAATCTTAAGTACTTTATTTGACTGCTGTTTGTTTTGTCCTTTTTACTTCTGTTCTTCCATGGGACGACACATCTTTAAATTTAATTGTGCCATCAATTGAGAGTAAACAATTTAAAGTGTTGCTCACCTGTGTTTGCTTCTAAGCTAAGATTCTAGCTAGCTTCAAACTGGCCCTGTGCAATTTTATTTATTTATTTATTTTTATTTTTTCAGTTTTGCCAGTTCGTATCTTAAAGTATGAATAAAGGTTTTTATTTGTAATTACTTGAAACTAGATTTGATATGTGATGGCGAAGATTCGTTTTCTTAGGAAAAGTAAAAGTGAATACCCTTGGGTAAGTAGTCACGAGCAGTTCATCAAACTGAATGTTTACTATGTAATCCAAACACTTAAAAGTATTATTCTTACATTCTTGTTGGCTAATCTGGGTCACAGTTTCTCCGCACTTCAGAGATATGTTTTCTCTTGATATGCATTTTCTGTTGGTTCTGACTGGTATTATAAACTTCACTCCAATTATATTTGCAGGATCAACTGCAAAGCCTGAAGATATGTATCGGATAGTTGAACATTTTGCTCTTGGACGGAGAAGGCTTGAGCTTTTCGGTGAAGATCACAACATTCGTTCTGGCTGGTTGACAGTCGGTAAAGGATTATCTTCCTCGAATTTTAATTCTGAGGTAAACTTGCCTATCCGTTCAATATTGGTAAATTTTTCAGCTTTTGGCTTCTTGAAATGGAAAAAGACGATTGAAAAGTAAGAATAGTTATGTGCTATCCAATCTGCACAAATTTTTTGACGAACTTCTGTGAAATTAAATTTTATCATTTAAAAGTGGGTTGATCTTCTAGAGGGTATTTGGTGTCACACCGAAACGAATGAGATTTTCTGAATTGCTTAATAGTAGAAGCGTAGCCCCTGTTTGACGCCCAATTTTTTAGAACTCATTTTTCCTCAAATTTATTTTCAACCTCACGTGATGGGATTCATAACTTTTATCAACTTTTCATTCACACATTTCATCAATTTTTATCAAAATCTACTAAAAGTCATATCTTTAGCTAATGTTATAAAGCTGATGTCCATTCCAAGAACATATAATTTCTAGCTTTGCACATGAAATTGTTTATGATAAATTGGTTAGTGAAATAGGAAAGGCCTTTATTATTTATTTTCTGTTGGAAGAGAGTAAAGGGGAGCAGGAGAAGCACAAGGCTCCTCAAATGTTTCTTAGCAAATTACCTTTTTGGTTCAACGTTTGATTTCAAGAGAGATCCATTTAAAAAATTATTTCATCTCAGAATTACCTGGAAGCAGGTTTTGTATCACTGTTTAAGCCACTATTGTCGTGTTTGGTTTGGAGGATTGGATAGCACTACAGTGTTAAAAGAAGAAATTCTATTGTCCAGTAACATGCAATTACTGTTGCAATTGTAAATGGCATGCACGACATTAGCAGGATCCATTTGAATCTCATATAATTACTGTGCCCCATAGGACTTGCGGTTCAATGTTCAAGGGATTTGGTGTTTTGCTGGCTTTCTTGAACTTTAACTGATGATTTTTTTTAAGCTTAGCCAAACATGCTGACATGTAACTCGGAAATTTTCAGGCATATATTAGGAGTTTCATGGATAAGGAAGGAAAAATTTGGCAGGGAGGGGGAGGAAGAAATCCACCACCAGAGGCACCACACCTTGTCCTTACTACTCCCGATATAGAGGCACTTCGTCCGAAGTCACCAATGAAGAACCAGCTGCAAATGCAACAACAGCAGTCGGCATCGATAACCCTGACAACAGTAAATTCCAGCAACAAAAAGAATAGCGGAAATTCCCCACAGACTCATAACGCACCAAATCTAAATCAAGAGGCCTCGAGCTCTAATGTCTCGACTCCAGGTCCGTGGACTTCACCAATACAAACGTTTAAAGGAAGAGAAGGTGCGTATATGGGTTCGGATGATAGGGTTTTCGATGTATACAGTTATAATGCACCACCATTTGGTCCGGCTAATGGAGACTTTTCAGATTATGATACTCAGAGAGGAATGAATATGTTGTAGCCAATAATCAACACTTATTGTTCTGTTAACATTTCTTGAAATTTTGTTATTTTGATAAAAAAAAAAATATTTAATCTTTTGTATGAATGTGCCTTTACATTCCATTTTTTCTACTCGGATTCGGATGCTGTGCAGGAGAGTGGAGCCGGATGCAGCAAAACCGGCTTGAGGTTGGCAAATTTTTTTCGTGCTTGTTTGGTGGTGTTTTTTATGCTCTTATTTTTGTTTAGATAAAAATCAGAAATTTAATAAATTTTAATAAAAATTGATGGAACATGTTCATTAAAATGTGTTGTTAAAATAAATTGTGGATTTTGACTTAAATTTTAATCGATATTTTTATATCAACAAACCTGATCAAAGTCAAACCTCATTTTTTCAAGTAGCAAATCCAATTGTACCGGAATTGGCTTTACCGAAGTGTTACATACGCTCACATCCATGGGCTCCATGTTAATAAAAAATGGCCCAAAAAAACGCCCCCATTGTGAGGTGTCAGTGAGGGTTCGGTCAACCCTCACTCGATACAACATGAACGTCTCTTTTTCAGGAGGGAGTAAGGAATTATTATGTTTTTTTTTTTAATGTGACACTATCAAGCAGAACTTTTTTTTAATTTTTATTTTCAAATTCATTTTCAATCACATTCTAACGATAAAATATTTTGCACGTAAATTAAGTTTTTTTTCTACTTTTTAGTCACAGTTACGTATTCTTAAAAAAATCACTATTCCAAAATTTATTTATTTTTCAAAAATATTCATTTTGATGGTTGTCAACGTGTGCTTTATTCTTGAGCTACTTCGATCAAATTGACTTGGCATTAACCCCTTATAGTTTCGCTGTATGGTGACAAGAAGCCCCCCATCAGACAATTAGTTCATTGCAACGTGGAATAGTTTCATTGGACCTTCATGATAGATAGAGACACACTTGAGACCGTGACTGCAACAAATGAAAAATTATGATAAGAACTACAATAAATAAAAAAATTGATATCACAGCTTCAATTATATCACAAGGAAATTCATTATCTTTCTATGTATCACAACCACTAAAAATAGGAGAAATTATTGAATGAGTAATGTTATTCAGAATCACTGGTATTAAGTACCAGTTTAGGTGACAACTACATATCATTAAATTATAAATTCGCTTAAATGCAATATCATATAATTTATTTAATCAAAGCTGTCAAGTGTGACCATTTATACTGTGATTGATATTAGATATCATTGTTCTTACATATAATTATAGTAATGTTATTTAGCATCAGTTTAGGTGACAAATAGATGTCATTAAATGATAGATGGGAAAAACCATATATACAGAATTTTTTTTTTTTTTACTTACAGATGTTTTACACCCACTCACATGTGTGGGT